AATAACATTTGACACAAAATACTGTAAGTACGACCACTTATAATCGTTTTGTAGGTTCACAAATTCACGTGATAAAAAACCGCTGCAGTTTACACGTAGTGTGGCCTTAGCCTTATACCAGTGATGTCGGAAGTCGGGTCACTAATATCCATTATAGTTAAATTAGTATCGCCATTACACACAGAGGTGTCGCTACGGAGACATTAAGTTGACGTACTTGTAATTGGATGTTTGAACAACATTACTTAATATGTGTAATAAAAATAAATTGCCGTCTATTTGAGATCATCGGTTTTGAATTGTTTAGAATTTTCATTATTATGGTACTTGGTATTTAAGTTCTTTTTTGGTTACGGTGCGTATTGGTCCTATTTAAGTTTAGCTTAGATTTTGTGGGTAGATCTTTAAACCGATGTTGATTCTTAGTGTTTATATTTTAGGGTCTTCGATTTTTGAGTTGGAGTTTCTTGCTCGTTCTTCTCCATTGGAATCGACATTTTGGAACGTGCGCCTAGCTTCACTGACGGACAGACTGACAGACTTTTATTTATTTCATATTTGTTGACGTTTTAAAAATACCAAATTATGGTTTACTTAATTGAAATAAATGCTTTTGAGTTTAAGTTACGTACAAAACATTTAATAACATTTACTTTAAAACTAGTTTATTTTCCCAGTATATCCTTAAAATAGTCAAGTAAACATAACTGCAAAATTAACTCAAGAGCCAACAAATGCATAACGAATTGCTCACTTGCATCAAAGGCAATCATTAATAACAACTTCTTCGTCATAATAATTTACGAGAATGTCACCACTAAATCAGGACATTCACTCAGCCGCGAGATGGCGCTGTGAATCACCATTTCTCTGCGTATTATTATTGCGTGAGTCCTAAATCTAAAGATAACGCGTTACAACGACGTGGGAGGGCCATCAAAATCCCTTTCTATGTTTAAAATAAAAATTTAACCCTAAAAGCAGTTTCATTTTATGAAGGTTCTTTATGCCCTGCGGCATCGTAGATGCATTTATTTGTTCTTATAAAATTGTTATTACCTCGTTCCACAATTTTGTACTTTCTTCTCAAGGCGCCGGTTTATATTAAGTCGGTGGGATGTTCAGTATTAAACTTTGCGGGTTCCTTTTAATAGTGTACGAGGTCTTACATTTTTAAATTATTCGCTGAACCTGTGCTTTGTCGTGTATTGCGTTTAATTTTTCTTCAGCAAATTATTTTTAATATTCTGGACATTAATAATTTGTGTGATTGTTAATTGACCACAATTTTTTCTCTGCTTTTTTTGCTTTATACGTTACTTCTTTATTGGAAAGCCTGTATGATATCATTATGCGTAACGAAAATTACGTTTATAAGGTCAGATAAAGGCCAGATAAAAAGTGTTAAGTTTAGTATTTCAGATCAATCTGTTAGTCATAACAAAAGATAGCCAGAAATATATCAGTCACAACATAGAGGCAATTGACCTAAGTATTCATTAGGTACAATATTTCGTATATGCACAAAGTATCTACTTAAGAATATAACAACAATATCCCACAGTATTTTGTTCAATAAATGAGCAAAAAAGGACTGTTGAAAAAAGACAAAACGTTTAAAAGATCATTACTCCTTCCAAAAGGGTAAAACATAGAAGTAAAATACGTATATCATTGGAACAGTTGCATCGTGTAACTGGAAGATGGGACTTATTTGTACTCATGGCTACACGTCAAACTATACAAAAACCAGTATAAACTGACCGTGGATTATGTAGAAACATCATACAAAACGAGCCCATGTTGGACTGGTTATGTGTTATATAACCAGTATAAACTGACCGTAGAATGTGTGAAAAGATCACACAAAGCGGGATCATGATAAAATGGTAATGTATAACTTGATGTGTGTATACGACAGTTGTGACGACACTCGAAATGTAATATGTCGCTCTCGGGACCCAGTAGCGTCTGAAGGAACGCTTTCAACAATTGCACACTTTTCTCTGTTTACTTTCTTGACATTTTATTCGTGTGGCGAAATGTCAGGTAAATAATAATTGGGGATTGTTGAAATAAATTTTCTATTTTTTGGTGTATTTGTGTTGTCGTCTTATTTTTTTGTGGCTGAGATTGTCGGTTTGATGGGAGTTTTTTATAGTTATATTGTCTGTCTATTGTCGGAATACTGAAACACTACTCAATTATAAGTCGTGATTAAGTATAGTTCTATCTCTACAAATTCTTTGTAAAATGACGGATATGGCACGATATTTGAGCACGACTTAAAATTGAGTAACGTTTCAGTATTCCGGCATTGTCTTGAAAATAAGTAAAAGGGTTTTGACGGGCTATCAATAGAAAACACATTGTGTCTCCCGTAGATGCGATCCAGCATGGGTTAGTGATAAGATATCTACTAGATGTAGATAATAGAATTGTAAACAATAGTTGCACTTCGTTTCATAAGATGATCTGAGTTTTATGTTGAATGAAATAAGGCTTTTCCCATGCATTAGGTAGCGAATACACACCCCATAACTAAGTACTATTACTGAGAATTTCGATTACACTAATTAAACCTAATAACTACCCGTAGTTGTTAGACTGCTTCGTTGGCCGACTAGTCGCAAGTGCGACTGCCGGGCAAGAGGTCTCGGGTTCGACTCCTGGGTCGGGCAAAGTATTACTGGGTTTAAAAAATTCTCAGTAGTAGCATGGAGTCTGGAAATGTGCCCGGTATATAGCAATAGACTCACCCCTATTACATAGGACTCATACCAGAAATAGTTGAAAAGTGGGTGTTACTTCTGTGTGCACCTCTGTCTACCCCTTCGGGGATAAAAGGCGTGATATTATGTTGTGTTATCCCTTAGCAATCGAACTTATCACTCGATCCACAAGCTAGCAATATTTAGGGAAGACTCACATCAACTGCCTATTCCAGGGCATTAACTACAGCTGCGCTTTCATCCAATAAACTAACTTCACAGACCTTTTCCAAAACTCTACAAGGCTCCATTACCTAAATAAACAGCTCCTACATATTGTACTAATAGAAAAAAGTCCAACACTTGCAAAAGATGGTGTCAAACAAAATTCCGATGTAAATACAAATATTCAAAGTTGAAAATTCCTTCTCGTCCCAAACTCGATTCTCGATAGCTGCAGAACATTTCATAAATATTGAGAACAAAGGATGCTTTTAAGATCTCCTTAACGGTTCGTTTGTCACAAGTTCTAGTTCAAATGGTACAGAAGATGTTTATTGTGTCGGTTTTAGTTACAGCCGACATAAGTCTCTTGCCCGTGTAGAGACAATAACTAGGATAGTACTTAACTATAAATTCTTTGTACTAAAAAAGGAAGAAATTGTAATTTGTTTATTGAATACTTATGACGATTGTTAAGCTCAAGGTCTTTATTTAGTGAATCCTTACTAATATTATAAATCTGAAAGTGAGTTTGTTTGTTTGTTCCGCCTTCACGCTGTAACTACTCAACCGATTGCTTTGAATTTTTGCAGACGTAAAGTTAGAAGTCCGGATTAAATAATAGGGTACTTTATAACCCGGAAAAAATTGATATTCCCGAGGAAAAACAAAAGTATTGGTATAGATGGCGCTGTGTGTATTGGTATATGTCACATAGGCTACTTTTTATTCTTTTGTGACGCGAGCGAAGCCGCCGGTAAAAGCTAGTACTTCATACATACCGACTTACCTCTATGAGGCTCTGTGTTCTATGGGGTAACTAGAAATCACAGGGTTTTATATTTGTATTACAACTGAGACATACTAAATTCATTGTTGTTTTCGGATTACTCTCGTAATTGTTTGAAGAGGAACTCGACTAGTTTCAAGCCTTGATGGAGGCTCATATTTATGAGCAGCATTCTGCGACCCGCGACGCGGCGACTGTCGCGCTGCTACTCGTTTTAAATGCTAATACTTAATGGTTAGTTAGTTGATATGGTTAAAATACGATAGTTAATCGGTTTAGTATTTCGAAATCTTTAGTTTAAGAACTAAAGTTGAAAGTCCGAAACTTTCGATGAAACGTTAATACTGATGTAACTAATCTTACTATTGAATCCTAAGTACCTGGAGATAATATCTAGCCACAAGGCAATTTATGGTTCTTATGAATACATGATATAATATAAAAACAGGAATCAGATAAATCACACCACTATTACGCCAATTACGCAACGGTCAGGCTTCCCTTAATCCGTATGCTCGGTCCCAAGTTAGAAAAAGGGCTCAGAAGCGACCCAACTTATACTCAGCCTCCATGATTCAAATTGATTTATGTCCGCCGATAAGCAGATCGAAAACTTTCCCAACTAACCATTTCCAGAAGCTCACACGAAGTGGGAAAAACTATTGTTTCACTCTTCAGTTGCGTAACGCCGAGTGCTATTGTAATAAGTTATTGGCGGAAGGATTTGTGGCTATAAGTTAGCCCGCGCACGGTGCCCTGATTCCACAGATATTGATCTTTCCAAGTCGGACGCTCGCTCCGTCGACGAAAGAAAAACGATCACAGTTTAACGAAAGGGAACACCAGAATCTAATTACGTTTTCCTACTTTACTTTTTGGCGTCCTTCGTAAACAATTTAGCTTAACATATTAATTAATAGATCAATTCATTACTGCACTGATAACCTACAAATAAAACTTGTTAAACGACAACACAGCATTGGTTTAGTTCTGATATTGGTATATTTCTATAATAACGAGGCTCATTACATGGGTAAAAAGAAATGAATATCCGTCAAAATGTAGCCATTTCGCCACAAATGCGCCCTCATCCATCATAGGTAATCGGAAGCGATCATTGCAAAAATGAGTATAATTTACTGTGAGCTTCGCATTTTACAGTCGACCCAAATTGCTGCCATTACATGCTACATGACACTGCGGTACACCATAACGACTGTCCATTTTGTTCAGAAATGATTGTATACCCAATAATCCGGCAACTATTGTAGCCTCTGCTATGTGACTTTTCTGGTCTTCTTAAATGGAGGTTCGACGAGAATTTTTTCATCCCTTCGTCGTTTTTTTATCATGGGGGTAACACATTTCATGGAGCTCCCGACAACAATCCTTTCTATTACACGATACTGTTTATCGCAGAATGGCCTCAGGACGGCAAAACTTATGCCCAACGCTTTGCCTTTGAGAAGATCCTCACGCAACATCGTGTTGTCACATAGGCGAGTCTTCAAGTATTTTAGGAGGTGGTCTAGTTCAAGGTTTGTCAGTTTTACTAAAGCTGCGATAGCTATTTTATCATGATCTTCAGAGTCTTTAAGTTCTACTTCCAGTTTAATGTCACTGCCTCCAGATGGATAAATGACTTCTTGAAGCTGGAAGCGATTGGGGCCCGCTCCGACCATTAACACGCATCTAAAGTTGTTCTGTCTACCGACTACCGTGTTCAACCAATTTGAGTTTCGATCTAACGCTGCCAGCAAGAAATTGATGAAGTCACCCACTTCTTTCTGCTTCTTGTAAGATGCGATAGCTGCTAGAGCCACCTCCGGCAGTTCCACAGTCTTGTCAGGTAGTTCCCGTGGCTTTTTGAAGGGGAGTCTCTTACTTGCCATCGTCACTGTAAGCCTTTTGAACAAACTCTTAACACTTCTAAAAATATTTCGAACACGTTTAGTCTGAAATTTTGCCGTTTTTAGAAAAATTGGACGAACAAATATATTTTTGGTGTCTTTTTTACTGTTTGAATTTTGTTTGTCACTTTGAAGTTTATCCATACATTTACTTTACTCTATGGTTTCGGCCAGTTTTTATCACTCTTAGAAAAGATTGGTAAAGGTTATATATACCTAGTCATTGGTTAACTAAAGCATAATGTACGTACCTACATAAATTAGGTATGTAGGTAAGAAAAATATCGGGTATAATAATTAGATTTTGGTTGTGAATAATAAATCAGAATACTTATTACAAGTAATAATTTCGCCTACGCCGCCGCCTACTAGTCGTCCTACAATAACGATAAAGCGCGTAGGCTGGGAGTGAACCTACATAATGTAGATAATTACTTTATTCCGACGGTGCGGTGCAGTAAAAACTTCGATCCAACAGCCATAAACGACGGTAAAGTTATTTGAAACAGTTAAACAGTGATCGTAAATGCAAAATGCTAGTTGGAATTCCAATAAACTCGTTTGGTCGAATGCAAGTCGCGATCAGATTTGTGGTTTTTCCATAATATGACTTTGTTGTTGATATGGATTATGAATCTTGATAGACATATCAGTTTCAAGGTGTGTTTGCGAGCATTAGGTACTAAGTCGTATTACTAGTAGTACTATTAGTCTAATAATTGGATTAATTACCTTTGTGAAGGTTGTTTTTGCTTCTTTCTTTGGTCTTTAAGTAGCTTATTTTTATTTAATAGACTGTACCACCATACATTACACATGTGTGCACCTTCCGGATTCTTTTCTTATTAGATTTAATCGTTTTCTTAAATATCTTTCTCTGGCTAAACCTACCTATAACACAACAGATTATAGTACTGAAAATAATTTATTTCATCATCAATCGTTTCTATTTTGATGCCTAATCCTTGATAAAATCTTTCTAGTTCGACAAACTTGGAAACTAATTTTGGCTACACATAACTCAGAATAGACGATAACAATAATAAGAGCAACGAATAGAACTAAAGACTATTATAATTAGGTTTTTAATCCAATTAATTATTGTCTAGCAGCTAATACGAAAGCAGGTCTGAGAGCATTGACCTTTACTCATACATATACAATTTAAAATGCTCAGCGTTCGGCCGGCGATGAGAAAATATTGTAAAGGCAATTAAGAAGTAATTTTCTTACTATGTTACGACTACTTTATGGGGTCAGCAGCGATATAATGAAGTAGCCCTTTGCATATTTCGGTACATTCAAGTCAGTTGATCTGTGTAATAAATATTGTAACGATAGTTAACTTAAGTAACATTCGTATAAAATATGTTTCGGAATGTACCCAATGTATGGCAAAAGATTAAGCCCTGTCTAGGTATTACTAGGACTCTTGGGTGGGAAATCATCCAATGATTTCTGACTGACTGAGAGATTGTCAGATTCTCACTGACTTAAAACCACCCGGTTCCTATCCCTGCTTCGAGTCAGAGCCCCGGTAACCTGCTAAGCCGTCCGCAGCTCCGGATATTAACTAGTAGGACTTGAAACAACACTCGCGACAGTAAAATACAACTTTACCTGTGCTAGAAGTAACTAGAATAACGCTTTGATAAAACAATTTAATAGATTCTTTTTAAATTGAGCAGAAGTGAAATACTTATTTATAGCTAACTAATTAACCTATCGCCACTTAAACTACAAAATACCTTATGGGATAAGAACAATGATTTGACAAATTATTAAGTTTTTCTAAAAAACAACGCCATGTATAAATAACTAGTTGACGCAAATAAAACAGGTTCGAATCCAAGTGTAGTGCGATATGATCTAATATTTGAAATGCCATCGTCCAATCGTTGATCGTGCATCGAACCTGTTATTAGTTCTGCGTTGTTATTTAAGTAGGTATTTACCTTATCTATTAGGTTTGGTGTAGGTGACTTCTTCGTAAGATAATGCTTTGTGGTAATTTTAGATGAAATAAATTCGCACTTGTTTGGTTCAACCATCGAATTATTTTAGGTTAGGTATGTAGGTACTTATTAGTCATAGAAAACTTGAGGACAGTCTAACAGCTAGTCGAGCTAAATACAGAAAAATGCCATACGTTTATTGAGAATGAATAATATCATCCAATGACCCTTCCCGCCTTGGGCGAGGCGAGGAAGTGTCAGACTCTTACTGACTATAAACCACCTTTTCTAGTCTTGCCCCGTAGTGAGCCCCGGTAAGCCAGTAGGTCTTCCGCAGCACCGGTCAGGCAAATGTCTGACTAAGCGTGCCATACTCATAATAGTCAAAAATACTTATCTAATGTTTATTGCTTAATTTCTTAGGAATCACACGTCGTTGGTAACTATGGACCTATGAGTGTAGGTAGATACTTTGTAGACCTACGCAATGGTCAAACTTAGGTTGTCTAACGTTCAACAACGTTTACCTAATTTCCTGCTCGTCTGTGTTAGGTAAGTACTTAATTAGAATTAGGTTTAATAGCTAATAGTTTGTACGTCCGCATAGGTAGGTATCTATTTAGATTATAGTTCAATAATGTGCATCTTCCAATGTTTTATAATACAAATAGCGTTTTTAAGTGTCGTGATCGTTTGACAAAAACATTAGCGCCTTTCTATCGTTGATTTTTACGAAGTTAATGTTAATTTTCATTACATGCTTACAAACACAATTTCAGTCAAAACTGCAGCGTCTGCAATCCGCAGCTACATTCTAATAAATGTTAATTTAGATCTAATTAGTTGGACTCGGTTATAATTGTTCGATGGTTGCTCTTAATTAAGTGTACCTAGCTCGGTGCTCGTATAGTGCAGCTGTGCAGGTGTTACCGCCGGATGTATGGATACCAACTACCGGGTTCGACAGACCGGCAAGTGTCGGAATATCAATTTCCAACATGTGGGGTCGATTCGACACGAGTTACTGCACGCTGCATACCGCTAACACTTCGTAATAAACCTCAGCACATATCTACCTATTCAACTTAATTATACCTACGATAAATCAATCTAAACAAAAATTAATCGACCCGCAACAAATAAAATCAGCTGTCAATAAAACCAATTAGAACCTTATACCGCTAGACATAGGGGTGATAAGACTCATAGATAACTTCCTACCTGCAATTTATTTTTTATTTTTATATCGCTACCACCGTAACTATAAATTAGCTAATCAAACAGAACATTCGTGCGGAAACACCGCGGTCGGTGCAGAAAAAATTACTAACGCGAGAAATTGCCTTTCAAAGGGAAATAGCGAACGAGATCGCGCCGCGTATCGAGGTCAAACAATATATACGTACTTATGTAGAGCGTCCCAGCGCAGGCATGAGCCAAATAGGTTAGGTCTAACATCGTCAAAACAATATAACTTACCGAAAACAGCATTCACATCCAATAGGTACTTATTCCGTTACAAGATTCGCTTCAACGGTCGTCGGCAATGCTGTCACTCACGCACACACACACAAATACACCGTAGTAAACGTCATAACCAACGTTTACATCGTTAATTACACTATTTCGCGTTGTTTTCTGACGCTGCCAACAATATATCACATGTAGAACAACTTTAACTTGCACATATAACGGTCACCAGTCACAAAATGTTAATGAATCATTGAAAAAACGTATTTTTTAGGCAAAGACAGACCTAATCACCACTCCTTTTCTCTCACGGATTTCTGTGATAGCGAACAGCTGCGGCGTGTGTTGTACCAAAACAAATACCCGTAACGCCATCTATTGACATTTTATGACTAACTTATACATGTGGGGCTTGGTGTCAATGCACTCCAGTGAACTTCTCTAAACTAATCGCTGAAGACCCGGCCTAGATGGCGTTGTATGCAAGTTGCGGTTGACTTGTGATAAACGTAATGAATAAATGAACTTAATGTGGTTTAGTTAATAATACAAGGAAAAGTATTTTTAAAAATAAAAAATGTATATGTTAGTACCACAATTTTAAAGTTAACCTCTATAAGTGTTCAATCTTCGAAAAAGTACTTTACTTTATTTATTAAAGAACTCAAAACTTATAAAAAAGGACAAAAACATAAAAAAAGATTCAAAATGTTTGAGAAATAAAAATACAACTCCGCCGTAACAGTGTTTGACACTGCCGTGACCAGGATTCGAACCTGGGTTACTACGGCCACAACGTAGGGTCCTAACCACTAGACGATCACGGCTATCGGAGCAGTTACTGGTATCGTCGAAATTAGTAAACGGTATCGGAGTAATATTTTGGTAAACGAATAAAAATATGTAATACTTTATATTACACTAGCTTTTACCCGCGGCTTTGCCCGCGTATTCCTGTTTAATCCCATGGGAGCATTTAATCGGAATAAAAAGATATCCTAACAAAAATTCGGCCTACCTATATCCTGTATACCAAAATCCGTTCAACAGTTTTAGCGTGATTGACGCACAAATATCCAAACAAAGAAACTTTCACATTTATAATATTAGTGTACTTTTAAATAATTTTAATCTTAAGTTGTATATATTTAATTTAGTAATATTTGAATAAATGATAATGGTTATTTTTATTAGTGTACCTAATAAATTATTAAACATTTATTCATTATTATTTATTAAATATTACACAAATTTATTAAACATTTTTTTGGAATATCATATTAAATGTTTGTACCTATGATCACTTCAAATAAAATCCTTTACTTTACCTGCATAATTATTAATAGGTACTATTATCTTACTATAATATATAAATAAAGATAGATAGTTTGTTTGTTTGGATGCTAATCTCCGGAACTAACGGTTTTGAATTTAATAATAATTTTTTGTTAAGTTTATAGTACATTTTTTCAGGAAAGCTATGGGCTTCAAAACATAATGCTAAGACCTATAGGAGCCGAGCAGCGGGTGAAACCGCGTAGGAGTTACGCTTGTTAGCTAAGAGACACTATCGACGTTGCGTCATTCGACAAATGCATGCATCCTTCATAAACTATAGATGGCCTTTTTTTTTAAGGGGGGAAAATCGTCTAATGACTGCTCCCGCCTGGGTGAGGCGGAAGGGAGTGTCAGACTCTTACTGACTAAAAACCACCCCGTTCCTTCTCCTGCACGTCGAGCCGGAACCCCGGTTACCCGTTAGGTTCTCCGCGACAAACTATAGATGGCCTACAAATAGATGTATCTTACCTAGAAACAATGAAACTGTCAACGGCTACGTTACGTCCGCCCACGCCTTATTCTTAGTAGGGAGAACTGGGAATAGCCGTAATTACAATATTAATCGAAGTAAAATTACTGTAACCATCTGGTATAATTTTAATCACTCGTGCTTTTTTTTAACTGAATATTATAATAAGCTGGATCCCAAATCCAATAAGAGTTAGAAATATGGAACTCATAATAACTGGAAACTAGGTTCCTTCGCAATATTATTGTCCCTACTATATGCGTGATTTATTTTTTAAGCGATCAACGCCGCCCATGCCCACCCTCAAAACTAGAGGAGTCACAGGTGCGTTACCGGCCTTTTAATTAAATGTATCTTTTCCTACTTGTTTCCTACCTATACCATGACAACATACGTCTATGTGATTCGACGTCATTGTGTTATTATATGTGAAACTTGGATGCTAGCATATTTACTTACTACTAGTCATTGTTACCGCAGTACGGTAAGCACTGCACATTAAATTCATATCCTTTTTTATTACAAAGATGACACCCAGACCCGGAACAATAATTTGTAGATTACACTAAGTCACTCCGTGCGGGAATTGAACCCGCTGCACGTCGCTCGGTACGGTAATTGATTGCCAGCCTCCGCACCAACCGTGCAATAAGGACCTAAGTACCGTATATAATAAATACCGCTGCTTATAGAGGCACCAGCTAGAGTTGTGTCCTTATCAATTTTAAAATTCTCATTATACACGGAAGTCGGAGTGTGTATTAGGATCGCTTCCGTATTACATGGGGGTATTACATAACTGGAAAACCATTCAGGAAATAATAGACAAGAATGCATATCAAACCTTTATTGAATCGAAAACATCGATGATCCTGCTCCTTGATAACACAACAGGGGTAAATAAAAATAAATATATCAATTGCTATCGTTTATTGATTTAAAATACAAAACTTAGTGACATAAAGCTCTATCCTTTTATTGTTACAGTGCCTGCGAACTGACAATCCGATAGGAAATAAACACTTTAGCTCATCGCTTCGCGCACCACCACATGCCAACTCACACATTCCATATAATCCCATACTGTCACAGTACAAATAAATAGTATAGTATATTACATACTCAAGCGCAAACATCTAGGGCCATCCTTGAGTAATGGATTTAGTTAGAACTATATCAAAGGTTGGTGTTTTACGTGGTCGTTATCACTTAACATCCCGACTAGTTTGTCAATTATAAACATTTTCACGGCAGATTTCCCCCTCGACTTGGTACCATAACAAGGTAGCTATGTCACAAAATTAAATTAACCATTGTCTTAAGGTATACACAAGTGTTACACTGAGTAAATCATATAACTGTATATTATACGGTGGATACAGCATCTATTTTAGCATAGTTATCCAGTTAAAAGGAACTAAAATATTAAAACAATTATAATAATGTATATTACAATTAGGTACACTTGATAACATGTGACTGTCCTGACTGTACAAATGATGTAAATTCTAATGCAACCTCTGTTTTGTTGATTTTGGCGTAATTTGTCTTTTGTCAATATAAATACCGACAGTTGGCGACTGTCTTCTTACGTGCTATTTTCCTATTTACATTAGTGTACCTTGGTGCAGGCACTTACTGGCGACATCGCCAATGAAAACGCTAATAAGCAATAATATCCAGCACATTGAGCAATAGCAGCGTACCGGCGAAATAATTCCACGGCTCCCGTGTCACAAACAAAGTCCGTCATGTCCAACGCGCGATTTCATCGATGACTCATTCGACATATTTAATTTTGTCGTACCGCAATGCCGTCGCTACCTTTTTGGTTGCATGACCCCGTAATTTTGTTCTCGCATGTACATATCTTGTAATGCGGACATCACACAATGATGCGACCAAATAAATTACTTCATTGTATATCGAGAGCACCAATACTCTAAGCAAGTAATTTCTCCCCCTAACAAATACTGAGTATGAGAAGCTCGAGCACAAGCTCATCTAGAGACCCGGCGCGTCACACGAAGGAGTAGACCAGCTCCTAGTGTACGAGGGTGTCGGGAGACCCGGAACCTTCGCAGCTCCGCCATTCAGACTGAAGAACTCGTATCGACTGCTATCCTCCGCCTATCTAAACTCAAATTGTCTACCATTCCAAATCCTCAGACTATCTGTCCAACAATGTCTTTTTATGTCAACATCTGGCAATGTCCCGCAGTGGAATTTCCATCACTGCGCTTATAGCCAAGGCTTGAATGTCGTTGGAACAAATAGTGAGAGGATTGCCTTACCCTCACAACAATGCTCTCAGTGCTGGAGTGACCCAGGCCACAACTTCAGCGTCCACAAAAGAGCAGAGGTTTACAAGAACAGTTACGCATTTGTATAGTTAGGAGTGCCACGAACACAATTTAATATTTTACATACATTTGGAAACCTGCCTGTCGATAACATCGTTATTGCTCTAACATTATCAAATTAAACGTGTTTCCCATACTTATTCCTTAACTCTTTCTAACATCCCTATATCTCATGAAGCAGAAAAGTATTACAGTAAATATTATACAGATATTTGAAAAATTTATAATACAGAACAGCGAGATTAGAAATAGATTCAAATCTACAATTAAATGAAATAGATAGCACGTATTATTAGATAAATCAAATGTAGAAAAATACTTTAATGCTTCATGTAAACGAATAGCTGTACCATACATGTGTTTCGTTTAAAAATAAATCCACTTTAGGAAGGTTTATTTTATAAAAACTCGCAACAATACTTTGCGATAAGAAATAATTTGCTATCAGTTGCATTTCGTCATAAGTAGCTGCTTTATTCTGAACAATTGTCATTTCAGTCAATTTCTTAACTAAAAATAATTGAACATAAAAATTTTACTATATCACGACATGGTCAGAATAAAGAAGCCACGCTCCAGGACCGCTACTAACAAGATCTTTCAAGTCAATGGACAACTGTACACGTTCTCTGCGTCTACTACTCGAGATACTCATCACTCAATCCCACAACTTCACATTTGCTAACCTTTATCTAGAATGTGTGCATCCACATTCTCGCCATCTTAAATGCAATTTAAGATCACCCACAAATAAAAGTCAACAAAACTCAGTAACCAAATGTCGACAATAATTTGATTATTTTACATCGAGCGACCAAAAAGTCGTTAATTAGTAGCGGGCCTTACACATAAAAAGTTCCGGCACAATAAGGCAGTGATTCAGTGTATGCTATACAAAATATCTCCGTTTACAAAGTTTCAACCAGTCTGTTGCAATGAGGTTAGTCTATTGTAGATTCAAATCCAAAAAGGTTGAACAAGTCAGTTTAATTCAATTTATTAACTCTTATCTGAAATACCCAAATTTTTATATATGTTTCAACATTTGTCATAACCTACAAGTACATTTTGTGTTTTATAGAATTACCTATACACTATTCTCTGTTTTACACATCGTCTGAATATTCCAATGGGTCAAAGTAACCTATACGCGTTAGATGAAACACTTGAGACCTTAATCACAAGCATTATACATTCGAAATAAAACATTTTTACAATATACAACAACTCTGAAATGCGAGGGCATAGTTTTATTTAAATAATTTAAGTGTGTACGAGTGTGTGTCAAGTCGAATCAATTTGTGCAATAACAAAAATACTTAATCTATTTCTTCGTTTGTATAAACAAATTCTCATTGGCCCTTTGAATTTCAGTCATCAGTTGCCGACACTTTAAGAATATAAAGCTTGCGATAATTAAAACCGAACGAAAGCCTAACTAGCATAGATCGTAACTAAACTATAGATTATCCAGTTTATGTCGCAGTCTGTATCGATTAGTCGGTTTCCTAAATTTTATATACAATATTTATTTTCTACCATATTGCGTCCTTGATATGCATCGCGTAACAATAAAAAAACCTAGCTCTCATGCCCTCGATGCGTCCGGATGCGGTGAACGGGACCGTCGCCGTCGCGGTCGGCGATCTCTCGGAACGTTCTCTAAGTACTGTCGGTGAAGCGATCAAGAAACAAATAATACAAATACACGGTACACGGTACAACGTAACAAATCGTCACCATAATATTTCTTTACAGTCAGACTTATCGTATTAAATAAAAATATAGAATCATAAATATCGGATTCAGTCCAGGAGTGTGGCGGGGCGCTAGTGGATGGCCACGGGGCTGTGCGCCAGCGGACACACGGGCGCCAGCAGCTCGGCCGAGCGCCGCGCGCCCTCCACCTCCATGCGCTCGGCGCCGCCCGCGCCGCCCACGCCGCCCCACACGCGCGCGCCCACTGCGACACAAAGCGATACTCAGTCTTACGTCCACACATCGACACTACACTAACATTCACAGTACGAAGTCTAAATTATTAAAAAATTGTGTTGCAATCAAATCAAATTAAAATACAAGTAATAAGTCTATAAATGGTAATAATAGTATTTACTATACATACATAAATAGATAAAAATAAATAGATCACAGAAAAATAAAAACAATAAGGTCTGCGGCTTGTGTTTGGCTTCAGAATTCGTTACTTAACATTAATTTATATACTTAAAATAATGAAACTGTTTCTTTAATACGCCATTTTATTTGTAAAAGGTACTGAAATATCGAATATTTTAAGTTTACTAGAGTTGTAGTGATGACAAAATCGATGTGTGTGGACTTTACAGCTTTAATCGATATTTTTGTTGTTCTTATCACATATCTAGTGACTTCACATACCAAAAATCAGTACCCTTTTCAAATTGAATGGAGCATAGAGGTTGGTAAATATTGCAATTAGGTGGGATGCAAACTCAGGCCGCAGACGGCAGGTACACAGAAGCCATGCGTGAGCGACATGCTCGCATGCTACGGAGGGCGCATAACATTCCGAAGTGAGTAGAGTGAGGGCAGACCTGGCACGATATCGTTAGGCACTAGTGTGGCGGCGCTAGTGTCGCGGGCCGGGGCCGCCGGACCGCTCTAGTCATCGCGGGTCCGACGGGCCATCTGCCGCCACAACATATAGCCAACATTAAAAACGTACACACTGCATGGAAGTTACCGGACCATTCATAATGCCTTTAATGGGACGAACATTAAAAATTTTGATTGAATCAATTATGGTTAGAGAATAATTTTTATCATTATTTTAATGTAAAAGAGCATGTATAGAAAATTATTAAAATGTAATCAAGGTGGGATTTTATTCTTAACTCGATAGTTTACTTATTGATGTTTAAGCATGTTTTAATGCTATCTTATTTTACTTTAGTGCTTCAGAAAAAAGTAACTTCCATAATTAGAAATTTTTGAGAATTACTTTCTTATTAAAATGATTATGAAGAAGCATTTATGTTAGCAAAGAACACGACACAAGCTTGAAATAATGATATTAGACTTATGTACTATATGGTTTTGTTAGAAATACAACTGCCTTCAGTGTCCTATTATATTATAAAAAGAGCATTTACATAAAGCATCATTCTAGAAGACACAAGGGAATCCGAATTTAATTTTATTGAGAAACCCGCTCCATATATTGCACATTATTATAATATTTATTTCTAAAGAGATTCTATTTCTTAAAATTTTCTCCTTGCATAATTTTATTCAATTCATGAATTATTTACAATCACATTATCAGATCATAGGAAGAAATAGATACATTAGCGATACACCTGGTAGATGTTAGTAAGGTTATCGTTGGTGATGGGTTGGCAAAAATACAATTAGTTTGTTTTAGAACATTTGGTGAATATGAGAGAGGTGTTGAAGAGATTGGGGATTAGCAACAGGTACGGGGATGGTTACTAACCGTGTTGGTGATGCGACTGTGCTTGTTGTGTGTTTGTGGACTCGTCTGCGGTCCGCTTAAAGAAATTATGTTGTAACGCGTAGTACGGCGTCACGCGCTGTTTGGGGTCGTACTCCAACATACGGAGGATTAGGTCCTGGAAATAGATACATGGATTTCGTTACCATTTGTATACAACGAAAAAACTGTGTACTTGACATAATAGCTTGACATTGACGGTATTTATTTTCACCAGGCGTCAAACGTCTATTAAGTATAAAAAAAGTTCTTCAGATCCAACCACTGCCAAGTTGCCAACCACATTGTGGACATAGTTACATACTACTATGTTTCGTCATCATATCAGTATCAAGATGTCCATTAATTTGCTGCTGATCTCTAGCATACACTACATTTACAGTGGCCTCTGACATTGGAGACACCTACATCCAGAAGTAGAAGCAAAGAAACGATATGTATGAAGACTACAGAAGCTAATAAAGAAAGAAGGCAGTGTTATCTTACCTTGAACTTGAGATAATCGGAGACGGAGTGTCCGGGTTCCCCGCGGCGTCGCGCGGCCGGGCCGCCCCCCTCGACGCCGAGGATGTCGTGCAGCCGCCGCGTGCCCGGCAGCCGGTACTTCCTGTAACCGCTGCACACATTAACACCACTTCATATATTGTACTCACTCACAATAGGCTAGTTTCCTACATTTTATTTTAATGTCCGTCTGGTAGATTATTTTAAAACATTAGATACGTATTTTTTCTTTTCTCACAAAATTAAATGCTTTCGACGATATATTGATTTGAAATGTCGTGTGACGTCACAGCGTGTAACAAAATGTAGCACGTTGTGACGTAATTACCGACCATTCCAAAACTTAACTCCATTTTATCTGAGTATTGTAACTTTATACGAGAAAATAAAAAAAAATATGTGTCTGATACTTTTTCATTATCTAACTGACGGACTAATTATATTTTTAATTTTCTTACCCTGGAAACTACCCAATTAATGCTTTAAAAAGATGGACTGAATTTCAAGTGCATTTCGTCTGCTTTGGAGTTTGAATTCAAAGGCAAATTGCAAAGGAACCGTGCAGCCAGAATGCAGTTGAAATGTGGCCCATGTGTAATGAGTGCCATCTCAGTACTGGTGAGTGACGAGACAGGTAAAGTACATTAAATACGTAGTAAGAGCAGCAATTGTTATGGGCCCTTCATACGAGATTGCGTTGTATAGGTTAACTGCATTGAGTTTCTCAAGCGACCAATAAGCGCGTGCTTAATCCGGCAAGGGTCAGTGATATATTTCACAATTGTTATACTTCAGGTACTCATTCTGTTATGGAGTTTTCTAAATATGTTACTATAAGTATATGAAATTAAGGTTTTTAATTTCCCAAATAGTTAAATTTTATTACAAATGGCAAGAATACCAGCCACAATTTATTGAAACTCACCTTCCATCCTTTCCATTAACTTTCTTTAATACATAACCACCGCCTTCTGACGCTGGTAATTTGTCAAAGAATTTTCTTGTTTTATGTGCCTGTGAATGAAAAAAGTACGATTTAGAACTCTGTTAATAGTACATAACCTCACGCCTGTCTGCCAGGCAGAAACTATAGAACGCCAATAGCTACGATTCTTACATTACATACTTCTTTCGCTTCATCAACTCTGTTAATAAATTAAAGAACAAGGGTATACTGACCTGGTCTAGCAGATGATCAGGCGGCATGCCGAGTACTTCGACAATTTTGTTCATCTGATCGACCTCGTTGGCTCCACTGAATAGAGGTTCGCCCGTGTGCATCTCGACGAGTATGCAGCCCAGCGACCACATGTCTATCGCGAGGTCGTAAGGTACGCCGAGCAACACCTCCGGCGACCGGTAAAACCTCGATTGAATGTATTGATATATCTGTAATAAGAAAATAATATTTTATTAGCTTCAAGAAACACATTACAGAGTATCTTAGTAAAATTCTATAGATATTTTCAAGTCCAGGAAAGTATTACCTATGAGGGTTGGTACACAAAACTACGATACTATACGATGCGAATTCGCAACGCAAAAAATGACGATGCGAATTGCTGCGATGCGATTTCATGCGACAAGGCGTCTCCCAGGGTGACCATACCTTCAACGACCGTCAACCGTACTAAACGTATTTAAATTAAAAACTAGGTCGTGACATGGATCGTAAAAAGAAGTGTGCACTTCTGTTTTTGTATAGGTGATACAGGAAAAAGAAACAAAGAAGATCTTGGGAAGATAAGACTTTGATGCGTGATGCGAATCAATTCGCAAGTTCTTGCGATGCATAGAGGGAGCTCGCACATTTTTGAGATGCGACGTCGCATCACAGTTTTGTGTACGAGCTCTTAAGGTTTATAAATTCAAAATTTTGATTAACATCATGTAGTCCGTTGAGTGATTCCCTATTGGAATCTCATGTTACTAGGTATCAAGCTAGTCTGCATCAATCTGCATCGGGTTACACAAGTAACTCAATGAAGAAAGAAGACCAACATTCTTCTTTAACATCTTTAATACCTTGTCAAGATAATAACGGAAATAATAAAGATACAGTATACAACAATGCAATAATAATCTATAATCTAATTAGTAAGTCTAATACTAATGCAATTAAGACTAGAAGCTAATTACACTGACTTATCTAAGGTCAAAGGTTTTGATGAATACAATACAATAATGACAGTATTTGTAAAGGTCGAATCATAATTTCTAGACATTATTTTGATGGAATACAAAATATAAACGTGTTTCCGTGTTAGTGACAAAGTTAGTAATAAAATGAATGTTCTAGGTAATAATTTTAGGCTAGGTGGGGCTTAGGCTAATCCCCAATTTAGGTCTCTACAGGTAATGTCCGTGGACACACGATTCTCGCATTCACGACATTATGATATTCATGAGGTTACCAATACACGTATAATACACATGTACATAGATTTATTACATATGGATCACAATACAGGTAATTTATAAATAAACAATTGTAGACATAAGAAGTACGTTTACTTGTTTAGACAATGTAATAGGTTCCTCCGCATCTCTGAAGATGATCCAGATTTTTTATTATTAATTAATGAATAGTAGTAATTTTGTTAAAAAGTTCTGTTGTCCTAGGAACTTTGCTAGTTATTTGATATTCACTACCGCAATGACCAAAGAAGTTGGCAAAGATTTAGGCTTTTTTTTCTTGTGCGTTTAAGATCTGATCCGTTTGATCTCCAATAAGAAGTTATTGTTGATGTAACAAGCAATGAATGCTGCACTTCTACAGCAAAAAACGAATTACTGACAACTGTATCACTACAACAATTATGCGAGCAAATAAAGTTAAACGTTAACAGTATTAATTTAACAGTCAATATTTATTAATCAATCTCAGTTGGAACTTACTGTAAGCAGCAATTAAGTTTGCCACTTCAACACAATCTGAATAAAATGAAGAAAGATAACAAGAGGTCAAGTTCATACCATGACCCTAATTAATTCAGTTTTTATAACATTGAATCATATTCATTGCAAAGATTGAGAAATTGATGACATTACAATATAGCTCTTATCATATGTCTATCAAGGTCGATATTCTGGTCTTCTAGTAGACCGGCTAAGGTTTCAATGATGGATATAATTAGATAACACCAAGATTTTAATCTGTCAAACACCAAGCGGTCACCGGTGACCGCGACCTATTGTTCTTTAATTGTGTCTATAAAACCGGTACTCGACGAGTTAATAAAGTAATAGTAGATTGTATAATGTTTGATATCCTGGTGCTGATTCGCAGAGAACACGAGCATACCATGTCAAATACTGACATTCAGAAGAATCTGCTACAAGCTTACCCTATGTCGATATTAATCTAATGGAAAGGCTGAGAGGGAGTGTCAGTTAAAAAAGAGCATCCGAAAATAGCTTCATTCATCAATTGTAAGGACAAAAAAAGCGATAACGGGAAGCTATTTATAAAATCTCAATTATGACTTAATTAATGGATGTTACAGTACAATGAATGAGTTTATCGTGTGCGTTGTATTACGTTTTAAGTATATGCGACGTTGCCGATAACCTAGTCTCGTCTACGAATCACACGACCCCGCTGTGATTTATCTCAGCAATTAGCGTGTACGGGAATCGAGTCCATAAATCGAGTGACTCGCGTTAGGTGCACTCCGATAATTTACTATGTTCCATTGAATTTCTTCGTACCTACTTACACTAATTCATATTTTAATGTCACTATTAGTAACATTGGATTATATTAGAGTTCTTGGTAATTGATGATAGCGGGTTATTTCGAACAGAATAATTAAATAGGTCCTTTTGAATATTTTAACGTGACCTTTTTTTAAAAATGAATTGAGATTAAATATAATGTTTTAGCTTAGGGCTGTGTGTTGGCTAAACAACTGGCAGCTAAAACAAATTCGAATGAATAGTGATAAGCAAAGGGCGACTACAAAGCACAAAGGTATTTTTTTCAGAGTATCCAGTTTAAAAAGGACGTCTAGACTATAACAAGAGTGGTGTTGGACTAAAGTGCCTCAGGCAGACTTACCCTTTGACCTAGTTGACACGAGCTCCCGAAATCCACAATTTTAATGGCTGACCTTTTCGGGTTGCATAGTAGTATATTCTCGGGTTTAAGATCACAGTGAATTATATTTAGTTCTGGAATACAAAAGAGAGGGGTATTAGTATTGTAGATAAGGGTTATCTCATCAAGATTTGCTTGACAATAGAATTTTGGGACCGGCTTGTGATATTAAACGGACCTTCTATCAGTTCCGGGAATTTAGGTATAATTAATTCAGATTCAATCGTTTGCAGGTACTCCATTCTTTTCATTATAAGCAATCGTTTAATAACTGAAATGATTGGACTATGATAACATAACTGATTAAGTTATCATTAGCCAACCCCTGTACTGACTGTAAATTATAACTGTAATTGTCTCAGGCAAATGTTACAGTATTGTACACTGAAAATTCTAATAACATGTATAACTGCACATTAGATTTATAACTTAACCAGAGAAAACCAATACTCAGACTTCACCTCTTTGGACAATAAGGTGTCCCTTGTCCTACTTGTAGGATTTATCATTACATAGAAAGTTACTAGAGTAAATAAATACATAACAAAGAACTTACCAGGTTGACTAAGGAACAGTAACGCGGTACACAACTGCTGCGCAAACTTGCGCGTTAGGTTGAGCGAGACGCCCCTGAAGTTGGTGTTGCGTAGCAGGTCATACAAGTTGTACGACAACAGCTCAAATACTAGGCACAGGTGGTTCCGCCACATAAAGTGACATTTCAGTTTCACTGGAAGTAAATAGATAATGTATTGTTAAATTATTATTTCTAAGTCAGGTGTTTACATGGTTGTATTTGCTGTAGATTCTGGCTTGCAAGTGTTGCAGTTATGGGAGGTTATAGCGGCCTTGTAGTCTATTATAGACTTATGAGTCTCCTCTACGGTAGAGAGTTTTTCATAATGTGTATGTATCTCTAAGCCAAATCCCAGGCTTAGAGATACATATTATTATTCCATCACTACTCAGTACATACAGTCTTAATGCATCTAGGTCTACCTGTCTGTGTAAATGTGATAAGACTTGAAAACTACTTAACAAAATTTCATATTGTATACATGTGTATGAACATCACTATCCACCAACATAACACATATTGTAAAATTATTATGTTTTTTTTAATTAATTTATTTAATCTAAACTGTTAATGTCTAATTGGTGGCTTGTTCATCCGCGAGTCACTTAAGGGGCTAGTAGAATACCAGCGCAAGGCCCTGTCTTGCACATGCTGAACTGGTCCCATTTCGCGGCAGACTTGGGACATGAACATGTATCCATCAGTACATACTAATGCAATGACTTATTTGTACATGTCACTTGTTTCTTGGCGTGAAATGAGTAGATTTGGCCTTAAAATAGATTTCACAACCATATCTCCAGGAGATTAACATGTTTTTGAGACTGTCCATTAGACTATAATGTAGTACCCATAATGGACTAATATAGTCATATAGTCCCGTATTAATAAGGTTTATCCAATCAGAAATAACTAAAACATAACACAATACAGTTTGAATTGTGATGTCTACAGCAAAAAGAAACCGCAATGTGGTTGCGGTCGGAATAAAGTTACTTTTTAAATTGACGCGCAATTAAGTATTAAACAGTATTTATTTATATTTGATTGGTGAAAACAAGTAATTAGCTAATCAGTGTAGCGCGTGTTCGTTTAGTTTCCTACGAGACGGGTCACGTGTTCGCATTGACATTGCAACTGAAGAAGTAAACATTGAATGTGATTCATGGTCTGTTTACTTTTGTTGCACACACAAACCGTCATATAATTTGTTTGCACGTTCATAAATTATGTTATTCCATATAAACTAGGATTGAAGTCACTGTATTGTGCAGAGAAAAGAATCAAAAATCAGTTTTTATTGAACAAGTGGATAGTGAAATGAAATCATTTTGTAAGACAATTTATTTTGTATCTTCCAATGATTTGTCTTGTAATTTAATAGCTGTAGTAAATAAACTAACAGGACCAAATGCATCACTAGCGCCAAACGGCAAGAGCAAAAAGTTTTCACAAACAAATATGAATATAAAAACTTACCTATATAATACTTATTTTCAGGATCCGCTCTGTTCATCATTTTTAGTAACTTGACTTCTATTTGTGCCTGGTTTAGGAAGGGTTTCTTATTCTTAATTATTTTAATCGCTACTTGACACTGCTCCTCATGGTCATACGCTTTCACAACCTGGAAAATAGAGAGAAACATACCGTCATTAAATGAACAATAATTAAAAAGATCAATGGATTTATTCGGGCAATGTAATACCAACTTTATTCGAAGGCGTTAGAATAGAAAATTGTAATATAACGTTTCATTGTAAGATCAGCACGTTTGGAGTAATTCACCATTTCACCATCGTGGCTCAGAACTCAGAAAGCCCGGGAAAGGCCTGACAAGTGACCTCTTTCAAGTCCTGTCGGATTACTGACTCAGTCGACTGTGAGAATGTGACAAGAGCATGCATTGTGAAGCTTGCCCTTTGACTCAACTAATTGAGTCTTAGAGAAGGCTGAAGACGTGTTCATAGAAACGACACTTGGATAAACACGTTTAAACAAGGTAATAGTAAACATGTAGTTTTCAGAAGCATTCCTAATCTCTGTTTACTACAAGTACTGTGAGGAGAAACTCATTATGTTCAGTAATCTGGCTGTAAGTAGCTTAGTGGCGATAACTGGATATCTATTACAATGTATTGTATGAATCATGTACTTGACCACCAAGTGCAACCGTTACTCATATTATTTATTATTTTTCTCAGAACGTGTGTAACACACCTGATGTGACACACATACTATTAGTTTCATTACCTTGCCATTCCATATTGCTATGAGTAACTAATCTGCTTAGTTAAGAGTACAAATAGAAAGTTCTGTGAAGAATTTTACAAGAAGTTCCGAAGGTGGACCTTGATTAATTATCTGAGTTAAAGCTTTGAAGCATACATCGACTACATCAATATTTTAAAGATAAGCGTTTGTATATGAGTATCTTAATTTTCTTGATTTAAGTGGCATTATATTAAGAGCCTGCAGGACTACATCACAGTACCTACACCATAATACGTATGTATCTTCTATCTTGTATTGTATTCCCTTAGACAAAAATACGAGCACGATAAGTAAGGAAATGGGAGCTTACCTGTCCAAAAGATCCCTTCCCAATCGGCGAGGAGATCTCATACCGGTCGAGGAACTTCTCGCCCTGTTTGATGATGTAATCATGGTTATCATCATCATAGCCGTCGTTATATAGCTTCCTCTCTTTTTTGTGCGAGCCATCCTCGCCCAGGTACTGTTGCGCTCTCCGTTTTTTCTTCGCGTAATATACCTGATGACAAAATAGATTAACATTAGTATAGATATTCGATTAACATAATGAAACCATGGCATTTTATTTTGGGCAAAGAATAAAAGGTTATTTGAGTTTATTATCAGCTCTAACAGTGATTGTAAGACAGGATAAAAAATAAAAGAAATTACATGAATAATTGGACGCAAAGATCACCTCATTGTTATTCAACGAAGATTTGATATTTCCCAGTTTTTTTGGTGGATCTGTCAGCCCAATAGTATAATATAAAATCATTGGACGGATTTTATATTTTTTTTATTTTTTGTTATTTTTTGTTATTTACCCATTGTGCCCATTTTGGTTTGCTAACATTGACAACGTTACATTGACAGTTATTGTGACAGCATTACTAACTTTTAAATAAGACCGATAACAAGTATTCAAGCAGTTTTAGAACAGAAAAGTACGATAATGTTAAAAAGTTTTCTAGTTTTCCAAGAGAACAATTTTAGGAATGTTGTATTAATGATAAAGTAAAGTGCATTTTATTCATAAGTGCTGTCTGTTGAAATAGTATTTCGATATTCTAAACATTGCACAATTGCTATCATATGCGTTATAGGAAATGAAGAGTAGCCGAACGCGGGAATTCTCGGTTGACGGACGTTGACCCAAATATGCGGTTGACATTGATCGACGACGGGCCGCGATATGCTTATATAAAACATTTGTACCGACTGCCGACCTGCGACGTAGGTATCAACGCATGGATTTGGGACTAGGAAGTTCATTGCTACCAATTTTACGAGGTACCGCGAGACTCGCCCGAATATGACTCATTGTTTTGCGACTGGTTGCTAACTTCGGGAGCTTTATAAAAATATATATTTTGAAGTTTGTCAACTTTTATTGTTCTGTGAATAGTTATCGAATGCATTAAGTTGGAAACGTGTTAGAGAGCCACATGAGAGAGCCGTGAGAGCGCGTCACGTGACCAATAACATCTGGCATTCAGAAGCCGCTATTACGTAACACGGAAGCATGACATAGCAATAATATCGGCGAGTGCATAGCATTCGCATCGTGGTGGCACGGAAGTGTCGCATATCGACGCGGCCAAACGATAACCCAAATTTCTGACAGCGACCTACATATTACATTGTATGTTTTACAGGCGACCGAGCGCCCCCAACAACTGGCAAGGCTTCGTGCAACCGCACACTTATCTGTTCCGACTAAACTGTTTGTTTGTTGACCGATGCCAGGCTATTTGCCTTGATTTGTGTCGATTGTCCGAACACCACGTGGATTGCAAGAATTTAATTTTTTTTGGCGGTTGTATTGATTAAGTGGTGTTAGACAAGTGTTGTTTTAAATTATCAAATATAGTTTTTTTTAAATGAGCATGTATCTTTGATTGTTCAAGTGGCAACACTGACGATACGCGGAGACAAATGATGGTGGTTATGGGAGAGGATGGTGTGGTGAGTCAGGCCAGTGACCGCGGCACGTGGCCGCGAGATGAGCGCGTCGGGCCGGGGAGAGACGGCGCGCGGCGGCTGTCATTGATTTTCCCCGTTTCCCCCCTACCCCGAGGCTGGCTCCCTCCCCACCGCGTCTCACCCACTTCCAGCGCCCGATAACGAGGTTAACGGGCGACGTGAGCGTCTCCTAAACTTTAATTATACCCGTACACCCGTCGTGCATGTTTAACCCGGCCTCTATTGAGCGTTTTGTTTGCAGCGCACCTGATAGCGAGACGTGATCCACTATTCGGTCGACGGTTAACTATCTAATGAACATGGCCGGAGATGGAAACGCGAAGAGCGCTACTTGCACAACCTGTAGGTAGGAAGTTGTCGTTGCCAACCGAGCCCGATACAAATCTGTCGGGTCTTAACTCATAAGCGTGAAGCGACACAAACTTTATAAACAATACGGAGACACATCTGCTCGTGTTTCAATAGGTGAGTGTGGCACGAAAATAAATTATTAGTTAGTGGAAATGTGACAGGTTACGTGAGATAATATTGTATAAACATTATATGCTCTTCTTCCTCTATCATAAGATTTATGTATTAATGTTGACAACGTATATTTTGTATACCTTATTCGATATAAAAATTTCATTATTCATAAAGTTTTCCACTTTTTATTTCATTATGAATAAAAAAACTTACAATAAGTGCAAAAACTACTTTTACAAAATTAAATAAAAAAGAATTGATAAAAAAAATCCCATGTTCGTAGCAATTCGTAGCACGACATCAAGTTGACGTGATCGCGATGTGGCGCGGCGTAGTCTGAAAAAATCCGTAGCACAGCGTAGCAACCGTAGCGCGTAGCTCTCGTAGCTTGACTACCACTCGCCTACAAATGTCTATTTTTAACGTCAAAGGTATCATGAACAATTTTAGGCTTGCTTGAATAATTTATAGTGTACATTGCAAATAAGCCAACGAGTTCCGGCGCAACCTCATCGGTGGGCTACGAGAACGAAGCGAGGGCGTAGCGCGCGAAACCATTTACAAAGATCTAGTTTTGTACAAGAAATGCCTATTAGTGGTATCCAGTAGCTCATTATCATAAAGTTTCCTGTATTATTTAGATAATTTTATTAATTAAAAACGTAACTAAATACACATGTTTTAATTATTACAGAAACGGTTTCAACTTTCGTTTAACATTAGAAAATATCAAAAATGTAAGAAACGACGTACAAAATAATTAAAAAATTATGAAAACAGACAAACAAGAAATCATATCTCATCTAGTTGCCTATAATTCTGATACATCGTCAGTTATTTAATTAGGGGTGGGCACAAATGAGATGTGAGCGGGGTACATACTGTGTATCCTTTTCTAATTATTAACTGCGGCATAATAGCATGCATTTCCTGGAGACCAAACGAGTGGAGGGTCGCGTTGATTTAAACCAATAAAACTTTTATAGCATGTCGATACTAAACTAATGGGGTTTGTTCGTTGGGTGGTGATTCATTTATATCGTTTTTTATAGGGGAAACAAGTTTGTTTATGAATTTATTGTTGGTTATTTAATATTAATTTATGGTTTTATTAGACATGCTGTTTTTTGTTTGAGGATTTTATTGTCACTTTATACGAAATAGTTTTTGCTGAAGTTTAACGTTATCTGAATTGAGATGAGGTCAGAGTTAGGAACTAGAATCAAGTAAGCGTCAATATTTTGAAACAACTATTCTTGTGTTGATTATTTTGTGACATAGTTAAAAAGTAGCATATTTTATATGACCCGTAATTTTTTCCAATTTCAGACCTACAAACAAAATTGAAAAAGAAACTAATTGACACGAAGAAAACAATTGATGTCTTATAAATGTGGAAACAATATAGTTGCACTTAACAAAAGTTATTGCCACCGAAGTTAGACATCAATTAAAACTTTATTATTTTGCACTTGCAATTAGTAGTTGTACGAAGTTTGGTCCCAAAGAGCAGATACCCAGTTTCTTGGGTTTAATAAGTTTTTCATGAAATATTAACAATAAAAAGTAACGTTTTAACTTTCAAGTTAAAATCTTTTTACAAACTATTTGGTGAATTTGCAATAATGTTCTTTCCGTTTGTAAAATTGAGGTATTCATTCATTTTTAATACGCCACATTGTTGCCATGTGGAAAAGTTGAACGAAAATGTTCGTAATGAAAATCCCGCCGTAATTTGACGCACATTTTGTACAAATGTTTACTGATCGGCTTTGTTACTGTAAATACTTTCTTCGACATTAAGAAAATCAGTTGTCACGTGACATAAACACTGTCGATTTTACAAACAAGAATGCATTGGAATCTTACATGGTATTTCCCATTGTTCCTGAATATTGCAAGAATAACAATGCTACTATTTATCTCTCAGAAGCAGATCTCCATAGAATCATAAAGTAAGCAATGTATCACACAATTGAATAGGTCAAGATGTTTAAAATACCGCGTTGTGTGGCAATCATGCCAAAACTGGCGCGTTTATGATAGCATTGCAATTCTATGTGATTTTTATTGCATGTATTTATTGTTGGAGGGATGTTGGCATGGACGCGTACAAATTTTATTTATACGCATTGCGCCGTGACGTCACCGTGATATCATCCAAATGCATTCGATGATGTAATGCTTGGATCACCCACAATCGATTGCGTTATCAAGTTATTCTGGTCCCATGACAAAACACACAGCTGTCTATATTTTTCTTTCTCTCGTACATGCCTGCCTACTCATAATAGATAGGCCGAAGCTTTTCTTCTGATTGTACCAGAGTTATGTAAACTCGTGCCAAGACGCCGATTGCTTTTGATCTTGGCTATATAAAAACTAATGAATGCTGAATAAAAGATTTCAATCGAACGATTTCATCGATTATTTTATAAACTACGTTTAAAAAAACCGACATTAATCCCCTCTATTTTGAAATCGGTTATTTAATATACTACCTTATCCTGACCGTAACAAACACTTCTGAAAACCGCATCAAAATCAATACAGCCAATCGCGAGATAATTGAGAACATACATACATTAAGTCGGTATTTTTAAGCGTAGTTTATAAAAGAATTATTTTATTTTGAAGTCTGTTAAAAAATGCAAAATCAACTTTGTAAGATCTTTGAGGCCAGCTTACACTCATTCTTTTGCGTACGTTTAATTTCGCTGGTTTGTTGAATAATAACAAGCTTTCCATCGCATTGGAAAGCCAAAGATCGCATCGGAATCCTCAAAAAGAAAATTTGCCGTATGCTAATTAATTTTTCATAGTCTCGTCGACGACACCGCGGTGATATGGAAATGAGAATTCGTCGCGCATTAGGTACTCTGGTTTACAACTTATCACGTCGTCGAGTATCAATTAAAGCGGCGGAACTGCGCAAGTTTACATCATTAACACCATAAAAAGACAGTTATTGCGAGAAAATTTGTGCAATCAATTAGGAGTTTTAAGAGGGGTCGGGGGTGTATGCGTGCAGAGTGCAGCGGCGACGACCAGGCAGGAGGGGGCGAGCGG